CTTTATAGGCGCTAAAACTGCTTCTCTTTTAAATTCACAAAGTGTCGATACTTATATTAAAGTATCAACACTTTAAATATATATGGTAGGGCTTTACCGGTATTGTCTTTTCGTGACCGGTTTTGTCATATTTTTACCTATTATATTGATATGGATCAATACATTTTTAATTTGGATCGACACAAACCGACAAGTTAAGTTTGTCGGTTGCCAAAATTTTTAATATTTCTTCATGATTTAGACCTACTACATTATTATTACTCAACATTTCTGGTAGCGCTAAACCGAATTTGTTAAATATCTTTTAATATATCCGATAACGTTGTATATTAACCAGCCTTTCCTGAGACAATCCCGGCATATATGATAAGTAAGAAAACTTAAAAAAAATAAAAAAAATAAAAAGAGGCTTAGCCTAGCTCCTAGTCCACATGGGTATTGGCAGGCTAGCCCATACCCAACCAAACCTTAGCCATGGCTTCACAATTGACTTCAAAGAATGCTACAACATGCAAATGTATTTAATACGTTGCATTGCTTTTTAGGCATTGTCTTTATATTGTATATATCAACCATTTCACTCATTTTGATGCTATTCTTTTTATATTTAACTTTCTTTTACGTGTTTTTGCCTAAAGACCCCATAGCTTACATTATTATAGCCATTAACTATTTGACCAAAAAGCTAAGGTGATATCACTCTTTTGATGGGTTAATTTATATAAATAATACTCATTTATTCTTTAATTATTAAAATAAAGCCTAAATAATATTATTTATAGAAATTATATTTTTTAGTCATATGAGATTAAAATTGGACGTACTTCAATAAAAATGTTCTCAACTAATCGTGCCTTTATTATAAGTGATAAGTATCAAACTTTTGCATTCTAATTGATTAAAAGGAAGGTGTCCCAAAATCATTAAATATCATATACTAACCCTTAAATATTAAAGACAAAAACATACATTAAGGAGTTAAAAAATTTAAACGAACAATTTGAAAAGATAAAAAAAATAAGAACAAATCTCATCGTCAAGAATAAAGAATAAAAATCATTAACATTAACATAAAAAAATATCATAGAGATCTTAAGTTTGAGCAGTTGCGTTTACAAGATGCGTATACATTGTCAATTAGTTAAGAAATATTATCTTGTAATTGTAACCACTCAGACTATTAAAAAAAAATAAAGAGTTTAATTTTATTGACTCGAATATATTTTGTATTTAATACTCCTACATTAATTTCATCAACCTCGAAGGAATCATATACACATCTAATTGTTGGAAGGTGGAAACAATTTATACATTCTCAATTGTGGACACCTAAAGAAGAATCAATGGGTATTAATTTTTGAAATTCATGTTTTTTTCTCTGAATAATGTCGTCTTTAGGTTCATTTTTTTCTTGAGACTGTATTATATCTTAATATTGTATTAATTTTTTTTATTAATAAATCAAATTTACTTTGATTAATAATTTCTAAAATTATGCGAAATATTTTAGTCCGGTTTGATCCATAAATATTCTCATATAATATATTTTTATATATGAATATATAAATATAAAGTTTACGTGATCAAATTGATGATGATTGGAGACCTATACTTTTCCTTTGTAGCAGTCCCACACTGATCATATTGTTGATTGGGACAGTGAATTACAGAACATTTAAGCCACACATATCAATGGGGCAACTATTCATGGACCCTCTTCATCCTTGCTGCATTTGTTTACTTTATATTTTTATTTTATGTTGTCCTGTTACAAATACTAAAAGATCATATTCACATTAATTGTCCATTTTAAGATTTCCATTCTTATTGGCTAAGAAATTCATATGTAACATATTGGTCCTAATGGTTTGTTTGGTACAAAACTTCAACATATAATTAAAGCCAGCAAATGAAAGAGATGTGAAACAACATGGTTCCCCATCGTAATAAAATATGGGCAAAAGAAATTGACAACTCTTCATAATTACAATTATAATTAATTATTAGAATACAGAAACAGGCTGATAATAGAAATAATAAATTATTAAAGTTTTAAAAAGTTATGTTATCATCATTCAAGTTATTTTTTTTATCATTCATGTTATTGAGAAAGCATAAAATAATCACTACGTTATTAACTCTAGGCTGATGTCATGGTACATTAATAAAAAAAAATTAATAATCAATTCAAATTTTAAATTATAAATAAAATTTTATATTAATTATAATTTAAAAATAAAATAAAATAAAATTCAAATTAATATAATAATAGATTTAGTTCTTTAACTTTTATACATTGTCACAATTTAACAAGAACAACAACGAAGTGTCATTTAAGCATACTAAGACACTGTGTTAGAACCTCTACTTTGCTAGTGACATTTAAAACACAATTTGGCCCACAAATATGGGATTAAGAACAGCTTATATCCCCCCACTAAATCCCTCCACAATTACTACAATATTGAAGAAAACCCATAATTTTCATTGTCTAATTGTCTGTCTTTTGGGTAGCCATAATCTTTTATTATTACCAAAACATATGTAAGACAATTATTTTGCCCAAGTATATGTAATGTGAGTGTTAGCCGCAAACAATGTGACAAATTTTGAGTAGTTTTAAGGGTTAATTGTCGTTTGAGATTTGCATTAATTACGAAATATCTAAGCACACATTGAGATGGAATCATCTAAACGAAACAAATATTTATACGTGGAGTGGAGGGATCGTCTAATTGTGTGATTGATTTGAATTTCCAACAATTGTGTATTATATTCTCAAAATGACGTCATCATGAAAATGTTCAACATTTTATTTCTCTACCCTATAACAGGTCCTAATTCATCGAGAGATAAGTCACCATAAAGTTCTACGCCCTATATAATCTTATGAGGCACTTCCGAGTACCTTTTACAGGATATAGAGAGAGAATCTTAATATGACTCTATACGGGAGTGTCATTTTTTTTATTGTTGATTCTAAATCCAGTCCTCTAGGAAGGAGAAGGAGACTCTAAGTTAAAGAATGAGAGTGCTTCCGGTAGGTCTATAACTTATGATCCAATGGAATATGAAGGAACAAAGATGATCAATTTGACCAACCGACCAAATGGCGGTGGATCTATAGCCACGTGCTCACACGAAATATGAATTTTCTTCGATTAGTTACTTATTTTATTGAGAGTTTTCATCCTAAAATTTTAATTGTGTCTACCCCATTTAAAAAATTTATATTGTTAACATACTCATGTTCGACCTAAAAATATTTTTGAATCTACCGTAACGATAAAATGTATTTGATCAAAATAATGCCATCTTAAAAATATAATACTTGATTTTTAAAGATTTTGACCGATCATATAATAAATAAATAAAATCCTTCAACAATGTGTTTTACCTTAGCTAACTCGATTGATTAGTTTCATTGACCTCAAATAATAACAAATGTTAGGTTTAACAATAATAACCCTTCCATGGTTGTTACGAATATAAAAATTGAATTGCACATTCATTTTATCGAAAAATAAAAATAAAAATAAAAAATTGCACATTCATGTCTTAATTTTAAGGTGTAGGGAGTCTAAGATCCAAATTTTATTCTATTTTATTGATGTTGGCTCGGACATCAAGCCAGGCCATGAGGGTACAATTCGTCTGCTTGCGGATATGAAAAGAATAATACACCAAAAAAGTAATTGTTGATTGTTAAATTATTTGATTTGGTTTGTCTTCCACGTGTGACTTAGATGTATAGCCACGTGGAGTTTCCTCGATGCCTTCAAGATCCGGTCTAAAATATTGCAAAAAGAAAAATCTGCCATACCGTGTGTTCTCTCTATACACACATATTTGACCATGTTATATTAATACCATTAATAGTATTTAAAATTTATTGATCATGATAAATACTTAAAATCATTAAAGATAGATCGATCATTGCTTAATTGTGATAAAGTTAATTTATCAAAATATCATCATTATATATATATATATATTAATGTTAATGATATTTATCAAGATAGCAATAGTGATTGTTTTTAATTTTTAAATTATTTCATTGAATTTTTATTATTATTTTATATGGTCTTATCTGATTCCTTAATAATTATTTTATACATTTTAATATTTTTTACATATTATTAGTTGAAATCTATGTGATATTTATTATCTCTTTATGTTAGAAATTTAAATATCGAATAATTAAATATACTTATTTTAAATTTTCAATGAGATATAAAAATCATAATAACTATTTGATATATAATATCTTTTTATTCTTACAAGTGAGTTTAAAAAATTATTGTATATTTATAATATTTTAATTTATATGTAAAAAAGTATAAAATAAAAAATATGAATAAATGAATAAGATGATAAGTTAAAAATATATAAATTTACACGAAATATTTTAAACAAAAAGGTTACATATATAAAAGAAAATTTTCACCACATCAAAAACAAATTACATGAAAGATTGTGAAAATCACACTAATCAATACACACTAATTCACATAATCTTTTTTCACTCACTAAAAACCCTAAATATATATTTATAAATATTTTCTTTTCTTTTCTTTTCTTCGAAAACAATTCCATACAAAATAATTTAAGAAGAAAAAGCCAATAAATAATGTACTTTTAATTAAATTTCTAATATATAATCCGGAAGTCTCCTACAGAAGCTGCTCTCAACTTGATGTTGAAGACAATCTACTATTCTACCTCCCCTTACTCAATTACATATGAGAATAAGATCAGTTAATTTTTTTATCTCTGTAAGTGCAAACCCACCACCACTAATCAAGCAAAACTAAACCCGCGTCCTAGTACGCCGCCAAACGGCACCGTATCTTTCCGAACTACACGTTGACTGTACAAAAATACGGTGATACATATAAACGTATCTTTATACATATCTGAGATACGTCTCTTTCTCCATTTCCAGATACTTTTAAAAAAAACATAGGAACGCACACAGCGACACACACACACTCACAATCCTCTCTCAGCTCAGTTTTTGCTCTTTCTTTTGGTTTTGTTTTTGTGTTTTTTTTTCCCGAATCAATTTCACACACTTCACTGAAAGAATGGATTTTTTGGCCAACTAATTTGCAAAGTTTTTTTCTTTTGGGTTGCTTTTGTTCCTTTATAAAGTGGGAATTTTGTGATTTATTTTTGTTGGTTTTTGGGATGTTGATGGGAGAGGTTTGAGTTTGAGAGAGTGATGAAGGTGACGGGAAAAGCTAGTTTACGTGCGGCATTCTCGGGTAGGATTCCGACGGACGCGGATCTCAAGCCGGCGATGAAGCGTAAGACACGGAACAGGAGGTGGAAACGGGTCGGGGGTACGCCGGTTGTGGGGAGGCGGAGCAGGCCGGAGACGCCTTTGTTGAAATGGAAAGTGGAGGAGAAAGAGAAAGGTCGTGGAGTTGAAGAGGAGCACGCGAATGAGGAGGAAGAGGAGGATGGCTGCAGGAGAGGCGGTGGTCGTGGACGTCGGAGGCAAAGTGCTTCGAAAGTGTCTGCGAGGAAGCTTGCAGCTGGATTATGGCGGTTGCAGTTGCAGTTGCCGGAGACGGTGGCGCCCGGTGGCGCAGGCAGGAGTGATCGGTCAGGGTTCAAGGTTGGAATTTTTAACCTCTTCCCCCATGACCTGTGCTTTTATGCTCTTTTTCCCATTTGTTTCTAGACTATTTGGTATAATGAGAATAAGCTGATCAAATTCAAGAACTGTTAATTTCTTGCTTATAATTGAAGCTTTAGCAATTGATGCTGAAAAGAATCAGATCTTTACAATGCCATCATTGTTCCATTTTTTGAAAGTTTTGATGTTTATGAAGCTTTTGCATGTCTAACAAAGAAGTGAACCTTTCATAACTTGCTAAATGTAATCGATTCGTATGATTTCTTACCCGAAAGTTTCCTTTTCGATGCATTTATCATGTCTGCAGTTTGTCCTCATTGTATGCTCTGGTATAGTTTTGTTTTCCTAATCATGAGAGGCATTTTGTGAGCATGGTTTGATATGTTTTCTATGGATATTTTCTCGATAAAGGGCTATACGTTCGCTAGTATTACGGGTTTGCTTGATTCACAACGAATGCATTCAATCATCTCTTTGAATTGCTTCTGAAAGTTGTGCTGCCTAATTAGTCTTTCTTAACAGTTAACACTCTTTTCCGTCTTGAACGAACAATTGAATCTTAATTGTTGTGAAATTTGAATCATGATTCTGGACATTTCAAGCTCATTACTTTGTGGCTTACTGCAGTCTGGTAAAGATTTTATGGGTGTTCCATTCCATTATCATCAGAAGGAAAAGAATCATGGTTCAGAGGATCCATTACAGAGCCCAAGTTCGGTCTCTGGCGCAAAAAACGGCCTCCTGCGTAAGGTATGCTTGCATCTGTGAGCTACTAAACCGAATCTTGAACTTTTAATGACCTGTTCAACAAGGAAACGACGAATGGAACTCATAGGAAACCAAACCTTTTGTAATCTACACGTGGGACCCACATTTGGTGATTTCTTTTCGATGGGGTTTATTATGTTCCATTCTGGTGATTCTGTAAAAGAAGAATAGGTTGTTTCTCACTATATTTTTGGACGTTTGAATGTTACCAAAGTTGTGTGCTCGAGCGGTTTATTATCAATCTCCCTATTAAAGCATTTTATGTTCATTGCCTATCCGAGACTCGTAACAAGTCTAGAAAAACTAGAAGGGAAAAGAATAGAATTACAGACCACTTCCATTTGATGCATTGACCGTGATTAGATGAAGATGAGTGGCAATAATCACTTCAACTCTAGGATAAACTGGGGAAATCGCTCCAAAAGGGATATTTGTAAGAAAAGCTAGGATAAACATGCTTGTAGCTTGCTTAATACAACGTGAAAACGAAGACAGCTGCATGCTCTGCATATTGATTTCCTTACTCTTCTGATCTTATCCTGCTTTTTTCCTTCTTAAGATTGAGCCTTCAATTCAATTTTCAAACTCTGCAATGGAGGGAGCAACAAAGTGGGATCCTGTCTGCTTAAAAACAACGGACGAGGTACGGAAAATTTACCACCACATGAAGCGTATTGACCAACAAGTAAGTGCTGTATCAATTGTTTCTGCCCTTGAAGCTGAGCTAGCACAGGCTCGGGCTCACATTGAGGAGCTTGAGACTGAGCGCCGTTCCTCAAAGAAGAAACTTGAGCACTTCTTGAGGAAAGTTAGCGAGGAAAGAGCTGCATGGCGGAGTAGAGAACATGAGAAGATACGTGCCTTTGTTGACGACGTCAAAGCTGAGTTGAATCGAGAAAAGAAGAAACGCCAGAGGCTTGAAATTGTTAATTCCAAGTTGGTGAATGAGTTGGCTGCTGCCAAGTTATCGGCAAAGCGATATGTGCAGGATTATGAAAAGGAAAGAAAGGCCAGAGAACTCATTGAAGAAGTATGTGACGAGCTTGCTAAGGAAATTGGAGAAGACAAGGCTGAAGCAGAGAAAATTAAGAGAGATTCCATGAAGCTTCGGGAGGAAGTCGATGAGGAAAGAAAAATGTTGCAGATGGCTGAGGTCTGGCGTGAAGAACGTGTTCAGATGAAGCTCATTGATGCGAAGGTAGCACTTGAAGAGAGGTATTCACAAATGAACAAGCTTATAGCAGATTTGGAGACTTTTCTAAGGTCAAGAACTGGAAATCTGCACATGAAAGAATTGCGAGAAGCAGAGTCACTAAGACAGGCTGCTCAGTCTGTTAATGTTGAAGAAATCAAGGAATTTACATATGAACCCGCAAACCCAGATGACATATTTTCGGTTTTCGAAGATGTGTTAGCTGAAGCAAATGAACGGGAAATCGAACAATGTACTGCATACAGTACTGCCAGCCATGCCTCAAAAGTTCATACACCGAGTCCTGAGATGAAAATGATGAAGAAAGACAGCATGGCGAGACATTCAAATGCACAATATAATCAGAATGATGAGATAGAGGAAGATGAGAGTGGGTGGGAAACTGTAAGCCATTTCGAGGATCAGGGCTCAAGTTATTCACCCGAAGAAAGTGCTGCATCTGCGAGCAAGATTCACCGGGACAGCAATTTCTCAGGTAGTGGAACTGAATGGGAAGGAAATGCATATGGGGATACGCCAAACACAGAGACTAGCGAAGTTTGTTCATTGCCTGCTAGGCAGTCGAAGGTGTTGTCCATAGCAAGGCTTTGGAGGTCTTGCCCGAACAATGGAGAAAATTACAAGATGATCACGGTAGAAGGAGCGAATGGCCAGGTTTCAAATGGAAGAATGTCTAACGGCGGTATTGTATCCCCAGATCGAGGATCAGGTAAAGATGGTTTTAGTCCCTCAGTGGGACAGTGGAGCTCTCCCGACTCTAGTCATCCACACATAATGAGAGGGACGAAAGGATGCATTGACTGGCCTCGTGGCGCGCAGAAGAATAGTTTGAAGGCAAAACTTTTGGAGGCAAGGATGGAAAGCCAAAAGGTCCAACTACGGCATGTTCTTAAACAGAAGATTTAGATGTTGATTAGTGATTTCAACAGATAGGTTTCCACCTGAAATAAGTAATATATACACGAGGCAACTTCTGCTGCTAGTTCGGAATTGCTTAAAAAGTTGGAGCATCTGAATACAAAACACCCTGTTACTCCCATAGATTATCCGATTTTCCAGTTATCGAGTTCTTGCTACTTTAGCCAGATGATGTTCCTCATGAAACAGGTTAGTTGGCTCCTTTTATCTGTAGCTTGTAATTCTACATGGTCTATGTTATAGAGAAAGCAATGCATGCCATTTGTATTGCATCACTCGATGTTATCAAGGAAAACAATTTCATGGCAGACTGAAATGATATCATTTTTCCTCTGTAATTTTTGTTTTAAATATGTATGTGTGTGTATATATTTCGGTCAATTGATAAAATGGACCACAATGGCAATCTCTTGATTGATTGGATTATTTTCGTTTATCGATCCATATTGCCTTTTCGAGAAATACTGTTTGCACAAAACACGATAAGTATCTAATAACTTACTCTATTGTCAGTCTCGAGTTCTTTGCCTTTCAAGGAATGCTTGGCTGCTAATGCCTGCAAATACCATTTACTAGGCAAATTGTTCCATTTTCGACTATCATTGCTGTTTGATTCGGTAACAGGGTTTGAGTTTCCAAATTGAACCATTCACTGATGGCATGATCAAGGTTGAAACTTTTGGAAATTATACAGAAGTTATTAAGCGTGAAAACAACAGAAAGATCTCACTATTATGATCCTTTTATCATTCCATGAATGTAAACCGAATGTTTTCCATTGCTGTGATGATATAACAAGAAACCAGAAAATATTTTTCATCTAGCACAACTTCAATCCTACAATAACAGTTCCCGAAATAACTGGAACAACAACCTCCATTTTGTTTTCCGAGAATCCGATGAGATGATTATCAACCAAATGATACAAGTTCAATGGACTAGATAGGTATAAAAAGGAGTTGAAACGACACTAACCTCTCCGGTTTTTCTATCATCTATATTCTTGAAAGTTCACATGGCCTGTTGCTTGTGCATGCTCCACAGCCTCCTAAACATTAGCACAGAGCTACGTGAGAAGTGTCGTATTTAAAAGAAAATATAGTGAAACCGGATGCGACATAGTGAGCTTAAGAAACGAGGGGAAAAGATGACCTTTTGGCCTACCACACCAATTTGGCATACACCGCAACGCAAAGTGAAGTTAGCATTGCCGGTATAGCTCCTCTTCCTAACAAGCAAGGAGCCAAAATCAGTTAAGGTCTAATGCTCATCACTAGAAAAGGTCGGTTAAAGGATAAAACGGGGATTACTCAAACACTGACTACATAAACAAATATAATATATTCAAAAACTTAAAATGCTACCTTTGTTGATCCTTAACCAGATTCAATGCAAGACCTTCAACTGGTCCGATGGTTTTATCCTTCTGCACGGCAAATATAGTCTGATCAAACTCCTCGGGAGCACCATCAAATGGAGACATCTGTTGATACAAAACCCAAAAAAGGGAAAACATAAGCATAGAAAGGAGAATGGCAGCAACAAGAAATAAAGATAAAAACATTACGAAAGAAAAAGATCACAATCAGCAGCAGCGATGTCCTATTTAATGGTCATAATCTCATATAGATTCTCTCAAAGTTTCCTTTATAGCAATTTATTATCCACTAATGCTTTTTTTGTGTTATTCCTCTGGTTTTAAATGTGACAATGACAGCCTCGGAAAATAATAAATTGGTCATGAAACAACATACGGCCAATGCATCATAGTGGAGACCGTCGTAGATCAGCATGACTCTTTGAGAGAATTTTTTTTCCTGTCATGAAGGCCGAAGTAAGAAAGGGGAGTGTAAGCATCGATAATGACAAATTGACGACCAGAGACAAAAAAGAGTGACGACATAAGCAGTTCTAACCTGACCATATAAATCACAACGGGATCGTATGCTGCGATTTCCCGTCCATAATAATATGCTAATATTGAAAGCTCAATGGCGCCTTCAAAACAGGAAATAACATACCAAGGTCAGTAGCCAATTAATGAAATAGTATGAAGACTGTCCTTGTAATAAATAGATCCCGATAAAATTAATTAATATTAGAATGGACTTCGAGTGGAGGGGGGGGAGAGTTCAACTAACCTCCCCACTTTTCTGAGTCGAGAATCCAAGAACAATACTCTGCATTTGGCCTTCCAAGAAATGCCTCAGAATATTTCGTTGGGTCACTTGCCACTGTTGCTGCTATAACCTTCAAACAATCATCGATCATACTAGGTTACGAAAACAAAATCACATTTAAAATAGTTAGGATAAATGGCGTTATATTGACACTTCATGTATGCTCACAGATTTCCACCTTCCAACTAAAATACATTGATCGTTCTATCTACTTTGGCATTCCAGATGCATGCAGCGTATAGCAGTGATAACAACTCGATGAAAAAGTATATCACACCTCCCGTAGATGCATCAGAGATCTCAGTAGTAATATATAGGCAAACAAAGCAAAGCACGAAATTCATTTAAAATACCAAACAACCTAAATACGGTAATGTTAGTAATACGGTAATCTTGAACATTTTCCATTAAAGCCCCAGTCGTATGCATTTGCATACCAACATATAAAGCTTCCTATTTTGTAACCATTCTATCTACAGATCGAAGTCTAAATACTAGAATTGACTAGTTAACATAAACTGCATACAAAGTTTCGATATATATCTTCAATCACCACGCAAGCATAAAATAACATTATGACCTAAATGAAGTGCTCCAAAAAAAATCATGAGATAATGCAGATAAGAACCTGTCTCAATTCCGGAGCTTTGGTCTTGTCATGATCCATCACGTACCTAAAGCGAGGAAACGAAGTAACATGATCTCAAGTAAACAATAACCACACCAATCAAACTAATAAACACGTTAAAACGGAAAGTTAATGATCTAGTAGTTTAATGAACTAACCCAACAGCATTGAAAAGGCAGCTGTTGTCCGAGGGAATGACCCTTCTAACGACAATACCTTCCATTATCCAAATTATTATGCACCTAAAAAACAAAACACAAAATTAACTTGCATCAATAGATGATTAAATAGTCGATAATGGAAATAACTAAGCAATTGGTTCTTTAAATTCCATGAATATATATATATACATATACATACATACACACACAGAGGAAAACAAAACTTGTGAAAATGAAACAAGGAACAGCAGATTGATCAAAGCATGAAATCCCAGTTTTGTAGCTCACAATAATATAATCTAAATTAAATTTTCTTAAGCATTTTATCCAAAAATAAATAAATTTTCTTAAGCAATTAGCAATATATATGTGATACCATTGGACAATTTAAACAAAGAGATGAAAAGAAAAAAAAAAACAGCAAAAAAATTAAAAGAAAAATAAAAACTTTGAACCTTGGAGAAGGAATAATACAATCAAAGAACAAGAGATGCTACCAACAAAATCTAAAATCAAACCAGACGGAAAAACCTACCAAAAAACTTGAAATGGTAAAAATTTAAAGAAATTGAATTACCTGAAATACAATTCAAAAGAAATACAGAAGAACCGAATTTTATCACGGAAGAACTAGAATCGACACCGACAACGATATAACTTTAAAATAAAGGGAATTCAAAAGATAACCCCACGCGTATTATTATGTTATTATACAAATTTTAAAATTATTATGTCAAATTCTTGGTTAATTGTAGTTACTTTGACTGAAATTAAAACAAAAAACTAATTTAATTGATTAGTAATTAAAATAAAATCAATTTAATAATTTATCGAAATATGACCTAAATGTGTAATCTTCACTTGTCCCTTGGCCCCACATTTCTGGGAAAAATCTAATCTTGGATTTAAAATATCCATGATATTATATAAATAATGGTTTGTCAAAATATTATTTTGTTTGTCCTATCTTTATTTTAAATTAAATTCATAGTAATATGATAAAAGAATAAACATTTTTTTAGGATAAATGCGACTGTATTTATCCGAAGAGCAGCGGGGGTGCCACCAAATGTACATCAACACTAAAACCCTCTACATAAAACAATACCACCCTCACTCAATAGTCGATACAAAGATATGTCCTCTGTTTTGAAAATTGGATTGGATCGGTCGGTTCAATCGGTTCAACCGGTTCAATCGGAAATTATTATTTAGTCCGGTTCAATTTAAATTGGTTGAACCGTTATTAGTGAACCGGTCAAAACCGTTCAAATCGAACCGGCTAAAAACCGGAAAAAATCGGGAAAAATCGGGATTTTTTTTATAAAAAAAATTAAACCAAACAACGTCGTTTGTTAAACGAGCCAAGTCGAACTCGAATATTACTGAGCTCGACTCGAACTTGAAAACTTTAAAAGTAAGTTCAACTCAACTCAAACTCACAAGTTAAAAATTATTAAGTTCAACTCAAACTCGAAATATAATATTGAAACTTGAACTCAAAAAAGGCTTGAACTAAAAAAAAAATTTAGAAGCTCGATTGAAGCCTAAAATTCGAGCTTGATTGAAGTGAAAGAATAGTTCACTCAATACTTACCAAAAGGCTCCATGATTTTGAATGTCAAATTACATCTATTATTTATAGAAGTTAGTTGTGATGCTCTTTTATGTTTCTTAGCAATGTGAGATTGTTTTGTTCTCGTATTTTTACTCTTTAGACTTTTGGGATGCTGTTCTATGTTTCTTAGCCATGTGAGATTGTTTTTTAAAAAAAAATTAAACCAAACAATATCATTTTGTTATGATTTTTTAACCCCAAATTTATTTTTTAATTATAGTTATATAATTATATTTATTATTTAATATGTTTTAACTTAAATATTATGTTGTAGTTAATTTGAATCATTTTGTTTCACTTGATTTTATGGTTTTTAACTTATATATGTTATGACTTGTTTTGAATATGTCTTGTGATATAAAAAATTATTTTTTATTAAATATTTTTGGTATTTTTATTTAATTTTTTAAATAATTATGACGTCGTCCGGTTCTTCCGACAGGTCGAATCAGTTCGACCGATTGAACCAGTGAACCGATAACATGACCGGTTCGATAACCGGTCCGGTTCTGAAAACCATGGATATGACTAGGCATTTGGAAGGCATGTCAAACCAGATTATGTCAGTGCACCTTATCCCTTCTCAATCTAATAGCATCCCACACCCTCGTTAAGGTCACCCCCGGATCCATCACAAGCGTAGCCGAGACAGAGGACCTTAGGCGTCCCCTGTAAAATATCCTTAATAAGCAACACTAAGCATGCATTATTCCAGGTCTTCAAGATTCAACCCCCCTTCCGACATTGGACAACAAATGAACTTCCAGCAAACCCGAGCCCCTTTACTCTCAATGTCTCCATTCTTCCAGAAGAACCTGGAACAAAGCTGCTCAATACGGGAAAGGGCGGCTTTAGGAATAACCAACTGCCTATTCCAGTAGTTTTGAATACTAAAGATAACAGCCTGAATCAACTGAGTCTTCCTCGCATACGATAAGTTCCGAGCAGTCCAAGTGTGGAACTGAGCCACAATTCTATCCAACAAGGGCTTACAGGATAAAAGAATATTTTTTTAAATAGATAAAAGAATAATATTTGAATAGACTTCAAAGGGTTTGATTAAAAAAATTGTTTTTATGGTTTGATTAACTATTTATTCGATTATCAATAACATTGATAATCCATCATTAATTATTTGTTAATAATTCGAACTCCGATCTCGGAAACTAGAGAACGGAATACACATGGTACTCAGGTGTACAATACTCGGTATCCGATATCCGAAGAACAGAGGTTGACTGCTCTGTTAAACAATAACCATATGCATAAAACCAATACAACTAGATGTTTATGCGTTGCAACTCAAAACATTATTAGATCTCAAATCACATGAGATTTGCTGGTTTCTAGATGTCAAAACGGGGTTACTACCTGCAGCAGTCTCCCGAAACGACATCCGAATTCAAAATCGAAACGATGAGGCTCTTGAAGCTTAGTTTCGTCATGCCTCGAGTGCAGCAATCACTCTTGGCATCCAATGGCAATGCTGCTGCCTGAAGTGTTGCACGAGCTGGTGCTGGCGAATGAAAGTCTGCAAAAGAAATCGTTCTGTCGATGTGTACGATGTTCAAGACGAAACTGGAAACCAATGTATACAACGGTTTATTTTTAACTTGAAGCAGATTTTAACTTGAACTATTTGTTCTCACATTTATCGTAGATCTCATTCACTTTCTTGAGGTCTTTCATGTCAGCCAGCGTGCAAGAAGGAAACCAGAGAAACAATGAAAATCTTAACTATTTCGGATCATCAATCATCATCGATACATCGAGCAAAGTGGCGGAGAAAATCGAAGAAGAATTATACATAATTGTTGTCTTAACCTCGGCGGAATAGTCAGCACCACCAGTTTTCAGTATTTCTCCTATGTTTCTGAGTACCATAGATTTGCATAGCAGTGTACCATCATGTACTCGGTAGCAAATTTACAGGGCCATTAGTTCATATGTTCGTAGGTTACCTGCTCCGTTTGATCCTCTACTTTGTCCAAGACGAGATTTCCGGTCTTGAAAAATACCAAAAAGACAAGACCAGAACCTCGTTTATATTCTGGAACTCTACGACTACAACCTTAAAACATCAAGAACCGATGAATATGTCACGAACCTCCTGTATAAGACCGAGAATACAGGAGACAGAGATGATTATTAGCCTTGATGGCCTGCAAATACGGTCCCAATGCTGCCGGAGCTTTGACAGTTACCACTGCCTCCTTTTTCGCTAAGATCAAGATAGTGTCACAAGTTACAACCTGCAAACCATAGGCATCAAATGGAGCCAAAGACCACTATAAAGTAGAACAGCTTTGTGACTGATAATGAAACAAAGATTGGTTCCAAAGTATAATCTATGATCAATTTGCTTATAGCATTCTCTTAAACTTCCATCTTCTCAGCCCCTTACTATCGTAATGTTGTTGATGACATTGGTTCCAAAGTATAAATCGATATGAATTCCCATAAACTCTATCATGAACTCAACAAGTATGATTCAATTAAAACCAACATCCAACACAAATTCACACAGTTTCAAGAACAACCCATCAAAGAAAACTCGAAAATGAAACTATAAACAACGAAAAATATGTGAAAGGCCCACCATTTTCACAATGACAATCGTTTCATTTTTCCAGTACAAGTTGATAGGCTTAAGCAAGCAAAAGGGGAGCCTTCCCTCGAAAAAGATAACAAAAAGTAACAGCCAGCTACGAATCCAGCAGCAGCAGCAGCCAACTGAGAGCCGGAGAGTGGCAAGCCGACATCGATAGTCGGAAATTGATTGGTCTTAAACTACACCAAACCATTTTCTCACTGTTGTCTCTCCCAAATTTCCTTCTTTGGTCACTTTTTCTATGGTGTTTTGTTTGTGTTTTATGTATGTATATACTATATTATACATAGCCAGGTGAAACTGTAGTGAAAACAACTGGAAAACAAAAAAATGTTGTAATTTATGAACCGAGAAATATTCCAAGTTTGGTTTTCGATGTTTCCTAGATTGACCCCAAAGCTGATGATTTCAGACAATTATTGTTAAAGGTTTGGGCTTTGGAGTAGATTTGGTTGAATCTTAAATCCACTTACAAGTCCATTATTTTCGCACTTCATTTATATTCTTGAAAATGATTTTCTTATTCTTGAAAATGATTTTCTTAAGGTTACTTTTTCATTTTTTTAAAGTAATATATTAGAGGTAATCTAACTATGCTCGAATGATTATTTTAGTCAATGAACTTTTAAAAATTATAAAATAATTATTAAATTTATCAAAAATTATAAAATATTTCATTAAAATTTATCGAACTAATATAAATAGTCATTAAATTTTATAAAATAATCATTAAATTTATCAAGCTTTTACAATTATCATGACATTGTGGTGACTAATTTGTAACAGTTCGAAAAATATAATGATCATTTTGTAACTTTTAAATGTTCAATTGTCAAAATGATCAATTGAGCGTAGTTTAGTGACCTTTGGTGTACTTTAACCCAGAAAAATATTACATACATATATGTTATTTTTACTGGGTAAAGTACATCATAGGGTCATTAAAGTATGCTCAAATTATTGTTTTGGATATTCAAGTTCAAACATTATAAAATAGTCATTAAATTTTATTGACGGTCATTAAATTATTCAAACTGTTACAATTATTATAACGTCACACTGACCATTTTTTAATAATTTGATAAATTTAATGATCATTTTTAAAATTATTGAATGTCTAATGACCAAAACAATCAATTGAGTATAACTCAATGACTTTTAATGTACTTTACCCTATTGTATTCGGGGAGCTGTTGTTCAAGTTTGAATATTAGATGCGGCCGTCAATAAGAAGTTAAACAAGTTATTTATCACTCTAACAATGATCAGTTGACAGATTTACAAGCGAATCAATGCTCAAATGAAAGGTTGCAACGAAGTATAAATACACCATTTTCTTTTCATCTCTTCCACCATTCATTTTCATTCTCCAAATTGTACATTGGAACATCGAAGGGGGAAAAAACATTTTTGTTGTTCTTAGTGAATCAAAACTTTGATGTGATTTACAATTCCTGGTTAACATCAGTAAAAACATGTTCCCTACACATGGGACAAGTGCCTTGTCGGCTTAGCCATTCATCTATGCAGTTCAAGTGGAAGACATGCCCACATCTCGGAAGATTTCTCCCCAGTTCTCCTTCCTTTAGACCCTGCAAGCAAATTGAACAACAACCACCCTCCTCCATGGGTTTCACTTTCATCATATCTCTAGATCGAAATTCGAACACCGGAAGCTTTCGAATTCGATTTCTGGACAAACCCTTTGCTCCATTTACGTCATAAATGTCTGAGATTTCTCTATACGTCGATTCAACCGAGTTAATCTGAAATACAGAACTGAAATTAGAAAAAAAGGAGAGAGAGAAAAGGTTTGTTTGGTTACTGAGAAAGTTACTTACTTGCCATTGGTAAGCTTTCAGCACTGCTGGACTAACCCACTCAACAAACACTTTCCCATTTACTAAGCTAACTAATAAAGCTACCTATAAAACAGCAAAAATTAAAGAAGGGATGAAATAATGAATGCAATAATGATGAAAATATGGTAATCTGGAAATTATTTTTCTCAGGGGGCTTGAATTGGCAAATTCTACCCTCCATGTATACCTTTGATAATGACTCCCCATCAACCAATGATTCCAGCAATTGAACGGCTGTGATTGCACCTGTAACAGCACCGATTCCAGCTCCCCTCACAAACCCTGTTTCTGTCGTCTGCCCTTTCATTGCTCCAACTACAGTTCCCACCATAGATCCTCCTGTTTACAGATTTCCATGTAAGTTGTAAAAAAAAGTACAAATGCATTCATCATGTCTATCTATATTATATACCTAATGAAAAAATGCAGGTGAAAGCTGCAAAGAGAGTTTTCTTCAACACTCGAATGAAGGTCTCGATTTGGAGGTCATTCATGGCCGCGAAAACCCGGAAAGAGATGGCTTCTCCGTGCCTAAATGCTACATCGGTTATGCATGAAAACCACTCCATTAACATCGGGATTTAGATCTGAGAAAAGAAATGCTGTGAATCTGTCGTTGTTTGAATTTATGGGAAATGAAGGAGGAGGTTATTTGAGGGAGATGGGGGAGTTTGTAAAGCATTTATAGGGTAAAGAATGCAGGGCGGCATTTATGATGAGGGCTAAGCCCCAAAGCTAAACTAATGCATGCACGGATAATAATCAAGGGGGGAACGTATGTTAGATTCTTACCGTGACGCAACTAGCATATGATATCAACATGATCAGTCTCATTCGAATCTGAATTTCAGTCTCAATATCAGTAATCTTTTGATGGTATGGACAAACATAAAATTTTATGTTTGAAAAAATTTAAGAAGTTATATTATAATTTTAAAGGTGTGGAATTAGATCATTAATATAAAATACAAAGAAAATACATAAATTAGATTAAAATTTAATTTTTTTCATAGTGTAATTACAACACTCTTGATCCATCCTTATTAATAGGTCATTTATTATTATTATTTTGAAACCAATGTTTTTTTAAGGAATACCACTTTTTTTTTACAAAAATATACCAAAAAGAGTAAAACTAACTATCACAAACTAATGGAAAAGGGACCATAAAATAAAAGAGTTAAAATTTCAAACCATACAACTAAGAAGAAATTGAAGATAGTAATAAATATTATAGTTGACGATGAAAAATAAATATCATCAACATTAATATAAAAATAAATACAATGATAACGATACGTTGACAATTGAATGTATTACAACTCAAACATAATCTATTTAAGATGATTACGAACACTCAATAATATAAAAGAATTAAATCAAAAGTATAAATCAGGGGTATATTAAAAATATACTAATAGCATTAGGTGAGAAGACCTAACATCATAACAGATTGATGGTGTTTGGGAATTATTACATTATTTGAATGATTTTAGGCCTTTGGTATATAATAAAGTTGTATTTTAGGTCGGATAATATTTTTAATTTCTGCATAACATTTGTCAACTCACAACCAGAATTAAGAACGGTTGAAATTAATTAAAAAAAAGTTTAAGAAATGCGGTTCAATTTCCCGAAAATCGGCTCATAAAATGAGGGAAGAAATTCAATTATACTGAATGCAAATTTAAGTCATCGAATTCTCAAAACCCTAAGCTTTTGTTCCAAAGGCCAATGACGGGAAATCAATGAATAAATTAGGGCTAAATCCAATTGGACATTTGAGGAAGAACCCTGACAACTTGTCTGCAAACCCTAAGCAATTGGAAATGGAGGTATTGGTTGTCCTCAAACCCTAAAAAGCAGTAGATTTCCATGTAATAAAAAGGGTTGCCTTAGCTTGTCAGTTGCCCAAAAAAAACAATGGGCACAAAAATCCCCGGAAAGAAACCATGTGCAAAACATAATTTTTCCTGTGGGCAGAAAACTTGAGCAATAAGGCATAAACATACTTGATGATTCCGAACATAACATGAACATAATAACATCAAAAGACGATATAAAAAATAACACGAACACGATATGAAAACGACGTAATTCGAAAGGAATATGGGGGAATTGATTAGAAAATCTAGGAGACATTGAAGTAAGGGAGGATGGAACATCCTGGTTGGGGATGGCTGCTTTGAGGCAAGTGGTCCTTTAAATGGGGCATTAATGGCTGGATGAGACAGTCTCCCCCCACTGTTCATTGATTAAATGATTCGATGCCTTCACTTTGATATTGCCTTTAAGTGATATTTTTCACCAGAACTTTGTATTATTGGAACTGTTATTTATAGTTTTTTTTTCTCTGGGTTTTCGGACATAAAATAAGTAGATAAAACTAGAGTTAATGATGTCTTTAATGCAGAAGAAAATATCTATGTAGATATTTATCGAACTGCAAGAGCTTTTGAAAAAAGAACAGCCATTGTCCTGAGTTTGGGGTTTGGGCCTTTGGCTGGTTTTCCCTGTATTTTTGTCTCTTGCCCTTTCGTGATTTGGCTTCTACTGGTTTTGGTTAACATTCGTCCATCAACTCTGTGTGATAAGATACAGATGTAAGGTGGTATGGAAGAATCTCCCTTTTTAGAATTTATTTAAAAAAATAAAAATAATTTTAAATCAATTTTATGATATCTTTTAGGGGTGTATTTTGAGAAAGCTTGAAGAATGTGAACCCCTTTTTCTTATTTTAAAAGAAATCTTTGTTTTTACGGAATTTTCTTGTTTAAAGAAAATAGTCATGGACTACCTATTTTTGAGAATAAAACCCTCAAGAATGGAAGGATTATGTTAGAGAGATACATTGCCTTTAATAAAAATAATTATCGAAGATATAAATTGTTTTTTATTAATTGCTATTTTGCACTTTTGATTTACTTAATTATTCTATTGCCTTTTTTTTTATTAATTCAACCATTTGTAATTTAAGTATTCAATGGAGAATATTTAAGGCAGAGAATGAGGATATATATACGTATTTGAAAGTATTTGGGTCAAGCAGTCAGGGGTTTAAAGAGCAGTAAGCAATTTGTGTGATCTTAGACAATGGAACTCAAATCGATCATCTAAATTATTTTATTGAAAACTTGGTTGATAAAAAGCACTATCTTTTTTTTATCAAAATCAATGCGATCAAACCTTATAGTATTTTTCAAGTATCAAGCCAAATCAAATTATCTAAAGAAGTCCAAAACTCGACTGCGAACCTCTTAGACAAATAATTATGCACATGTCTCGATCTTAAACTCACAATCCATGGCATTTACAATTAATAAGGATTGGATTGGAATTAAAATATTTTATTTTATATATATATAATGATTTTTCTCTGAATAAATTTTTTAAAATATGTGAAAATTAAAGAAAAAGGACCACTTATGTTTTGTGAAATTGAAAAGCTTGAAACTATTTTTTTTTAATTTGATGAATTAATACTAGTTAAAATTCATATAAAACTAAATTATTATTTTTAACAAATTGTAAATATCAATTATCTTATGCTAGTTAAAAATCAGAGAAATGTAATGTTAGAAGATAACGACATGCATAATGATCGTCCAATAAAATAGACACTAAATTTTTACGTGAAAAATCCTTTTGAAAAAAATTACAGGCAGAAGAGGAGAAAATTCACTTATGTCAAGAGAAGAAGAATACAAGAGGAGTCCTCATGGACAACCTAATCGCCAACTCTAATCCTTAGTATATATATATTTGATTACAAAAGAAATTATATAAAGTATAAATCTACTTTAACAAAGTTTTCTACTTTTAATCAAAATAGGTTTATTACTTTCCTAAATTTATATATTAATTAATTTGTGTTACTTTGAATTCGAGTCAAACTCTGACAAATCTCCACATTTACGTGAATTATGAAAGTGCGAAGGCTTCGAGACAAAACACCCAAATTTGATGAGACACACCAAACTCAACAAAAATAATTCTTCACTTCAACAAATAAGTTCTCCAGCTTGAGAACATATTCTCCACTTCTTCCACAAAATTCCTTAGAGGAGTATTATTCAACAGTGATTGTCAAATGAATCCAAAGTTTCCCCAAACTTGGATTTAGTCTTCAGATCGATAAAGAAATCATAAGTGCTATTTTTTCTCATTACTTGTTCACTACAAGTAATACCATGCACAACACTATCCTGATCATCAATGACAATTCTATCTTTTCCGTTATGCTGACAAAACTGAATTTTCTTCTTCTCGAATTTGTTATGCCACATAGCTTAACTCTCCTTTTCTTCTCAAGTATGTTATGCCGACAGAGTATAACAATTTTCTGCTCCTAAAATCGTTATGTCCACGGTTGTTTTGTTCAACACAAAATCCTCCTTTGTCACGAAGGAAAAAAATAATAGTTCATCTTTTATAATTATTGAACCCTGGATAATATAAAGCTTAGAAGTCTTTCTCTTCCCTTTCATCAAAATAAGAGAGTTCTTAGAAATTATTGCACCTCTACCTTACATAGCGTTAATATGGTGTTGTGTAGGGATGGCAACTCAACCCGAACCCGACGGGTTCCGACCCGACCGGGTCGGATTTTTTTTAAAAAAAATTGGGTTCGGGTCAGGTTTTTATTAAATGCACTATTCGGGTCGGGTCGGGTCGGGTTTAGGGTGGAAAAAATCCGACCCGACCTGAAAATATATATAATTTTACCCTATATATTTAGGGATAATTACAATAATACCCCTCTATATATAATTTTTTTTCAATTAAGTCACTATTTTTATTGAATAAAAATATTTTTTTATTTCGGGTCGGGTTTCTAAGTCATATATTCGGGTCGGGTCGGGTCGGGTGAAATCTTAATTTCGTCGGGTCAGGTCGGGTCACGGGTGGAGGACCCTTTCTTCTCGGGTCGGGTCGGGTGACCAAAAAACCCGACCCATTGCCATCCCTAGTGTTGTGATCCAATAGAAAAATTTCATACATCAAAGACGTCAATATCGTGATCGATTCAAACAACTCGAAAGTTGATACCAATTTGTTAGATGATAACGACATGCATAATGATCACCTAATAAAATATACACCAATATTTTCGTGGAAAATCTTTTCGAAAAAAACCACGGACAAAAGAGGAGAAAATTCACTAATGTCAAAAGAAATATATATATATATATATATATATATATATATATATGAAAAGTTCTTGTGGACAACCTAATCTCTTACCCTAATCCTTAATATCTATTTAGAGGGATAGATTTTTTATTATAAAGAAAACTATATAAATTACAAAACTACTTTAATAAAGTTTTCTACTTTTAATCAAACTATGCTTTTTAGTTTCTCATATTTATATATTAATTAATTTGTGTCACTTTGAATTCGAGTCAAACTCTAATATATAAGAATTATTTTTATTATTTCTATTTTATTTTGAAAAATACATATTTAACATTTTTTATTAAAATAAAATTTTTATTTATTTATCAGTGATATTTTTATTAAAATATATATATATATTTTTTAAAAACCATAAAACATTTTCAAAAACCAAACCATATAAATATCATGTTATAAATTTATCTTATGAAATACCATTTTTCATTATCAACAAAACGGAA